TATATATATATGAACCTATTGGTCGAATTACAAGATCTTTCAAAAGAGCTATCGCAAGACCCACTTTTATATTTAAAAAAAATATCGAAGATGTTAGAGAAAGTATGGGACGTCGGGAAAAAAATTTGGATGAATAAATCAACCAAGAAAAAAAGCTGGAAATAGTTTATAGCTCGGCCGCTAGGAGGCGCAATCTGTATACCAAAACAGGGTAGATTTTTTTTTTTAGAAATATTTCCTATGCAGGTATATGAAATAGTACAAATATGGATAGCCGAATTCATTGCGCATAATTTTTGTTACTGATATTTTGTTCTATCTCTTGGCAAAAATGGTGGGGAAAGCCTCTAATGTCTGATCAGAAAAGTGCATTTTTTTAAAGATTGGCTCATCAAAAGCCCATAGTATTATGTCTCGCTGGAAATCTGTTTTCATGCTTTATCTCCTATAAACGCATTTTGTTTTGGTAATAAATGTCTTTTCGTTAGCGTCGTGTTCCTCAATACATAATCATTATTTATTTTTTGCTCACTGATTTGCGAATAACTTGATAACAAAAAAGATATTGAACCTTTTTTGGCGTCGAAATGTAGCTATTTTTATACTCTTCAAACTAACCTATACAAAGTTTTATCCTGCTGTTTAATTTTTTTAAGAAAACGTGAAACAACCTAAACTTGGATAAATAGTGCCAATAAATAAACTACATTTTCGTTAGAAATTTCAAACTTATACTATATTCATCAATTTTGTGTTGAATTCATTTATGTAAAGAAAACTACAGCATTGCATTTAAAATTTTTGGGAAAAATTCATAAAACGGCATTCCTGTGAAATAACGCCATCTATAGGTTTCCATATTCAGGTAAATGACATTACGCACTCACGACAAGATAAAGGAAGAAAAGACCTTTCCAACAAGGTATAACACTATTTGATGAACCAATCCTTTCGAGAGATAGAACAAAATGTCAAAAACAAAAGTTATGCGCAATGAATCCGGCTATCCATATTTGTACTATTTAATATACCAGAATAGGAAACATTTCTAAGAAAAATTCAACTCAATGTTTTGGTATGTAGATTGCGCCCCCTAGCGGTCAAGTTACGAAATTGAAAACTATTTCCAGCGATTTCTGTTGATTAATTTATTGGTCAACATTTTTTTCCCGAAGCTCTAGGGCCTATACTTTCTCTAGTATCATCCCTCGTCGACCTTGGTGGGACACCCTGAATAATTAAGGTATTACAATAAACAGTAGCGAGATCGGTAAATACTTACTTGACACTTTAAATCTAGACGCATCCTTCCCACAGCGCTCTCTATTGTACAAAAGTAATTTACATGTTGTCCAAGGACCAAAATATCCTTTCTCGTCTCCAAATCCTCCTGAAATATAAAAAGAAAATAGACAATTTCGGATGTATAACATTTGATTAATGAATTTATAACTGACGGTAA